TACCCTTGGAATAAGAGTGGTTGTCCTCACCTGTGAAAAGTGATTTATACCGAGGACACGAATGGAGGAGCAATGCACAGCTGGAGGAAAACACTTAAATAGTGGTTCTGGTTGAAAAGCGAGGATGTACAAATGATACCATGTGTCTAGCAGAGCCTTTCCTTGTGTGCCAGCCCTCATATTTGGGGACCAAAGTAGCAGAACAAGGTTTTGCTCTCTTGTACATCTAAAACCAGTAGAGCATGGAGGTGAAGTCTGTGCCTTCTTGGTACAGTGAGTTGTTTTACTGAAATGCATGAATTTATCTAAGTTTGCCCATCAGAGCAGCAAGGCTGTGTAATAGTGGAGTAACAGCAGCGGGAAAACTCAGCCGATGTCGGAAAGGCAGAGTATGACGTGGGATTTTCAGCGGTGGGGCTGGACTCGATGACTCAGAGAGCCTCCTCAAGCCATGCATCCCTGTCCTGGGATTGCAGAGGTGCCTCTGAGAAAATAATCCAGATCCAGCTACACCACAAAATCCGAGTCCCCCAGCAGACAGGTCCCAGTTCTCCTGTCTCAGGAGTTTTCAGGACTGGTTGTTCGGGAAGCCTTCTCCTGTCAGAGCTCCTTTCCATCTCCAGTCATTCAGCAATAGCACTTTAAATTAAGTCTTTGCCTTAAACCAAAACAACTTTCCAACAATACACGAGGGAGAAGTAGGGACCACTACAGAATTTGAAAACTTTGGTTCCTTAGTTGTATTCCTTGATGGATTTATGGCTCTTGGAAAGACAACAGGTTTATTGCAGTCAGCCGCTTTCAATTTTACCATTATACTTTGAAGTCAGTGACAAAATTCCCAATCATTTTTTTGGGACCAGGTTGGGGCTTGATGTTTTGACGTTGTTCGATTTAGTTTTCAGAAATGCACAAAACCAATTACCAAACAAGAAGGTGAAGCTGACATCTGGCTTTATTGGGGGTTATTCCTTTGGGAGGATTAGGGTAAGAGAGACAAATGGTTATGCCACTTACCTTCTTCTCCCGGCAGAAGCAGGAACCTGAGCCGAAGCAGTAGCTGTGGTGCACTAAATAAAACTGCTTGTGGATCCCCCTCTTGAAGGCTGGGAGGTCTGATCTGCGGCGTGGCAGAGGTTTGTGTAGCCCTAGGACTGTGTAGCCACATGTCGGTCCAGAACAGTGTTTGCACCCCTGCCCCACGTCGCTGGCTGAGCCAGCCTGGCTGCTCTCCAGCAGGATTGCAGTGCTGGAACGGCACCAGGGAACATCGTCAGGGATCAGGATCTGATCCATTTTATTTCCCTACACTTTTTGTACCTTTACTATGAATACTACTCAGGTGTCAGGACCAGATATGTTCACACTCCATAGGATTTTGCTGTTTTACTCCAACAGGGTACAGGTGGTTGGTAAAAATCCTTTTAGACTGAGTAGGACCTTACACTTTAGGTCCATATTTTTAAATGTGTGATTAAAACAACACAGGTTTTTTTTTTCTTCCTAAAATATTACCCAAAGAGCCACTTTAGCTGAAGCTACATTTTATGATGAGATTCATTTACACGTCACATCACTCCACAGTGTGAGTGAGGCAACTAGGATCTGGGCCAGAGTCATTTGGAATCAGTTTACAGTGCCTCTGATCTCACTACAAAATACTCAGTTAAAAATAGCCCAATTGACATTGTAAGACCTATAAAGGCTCTGATCTAGCAAAGCACTCACATCTCTGCTTAACTGTGAGGTTCTGATTAGTCCTATTTAAGACCATAAATTTTCCACTAACTTCAAAGTCCTATGCCAAAGTTCTTCCTTGTACCAGGACCAAAACTGTTAATGGTAAAAGTAGAACGTAGCGGATTGCAAATTTGTGAAGAATTTAAAGGCTTTTAACTTCTGCCATGTTAAAGAATTTATGTGAATTAATTCCTTAAGTTATTATAAAGAAATTCAATTAATAATGGCTCTGCCTTTCATTATGACGAGTAATCAAGGATAAACATCTTCTGTATCAAAGCTTATCTGTAAAAAAGGATAAATTAGCTATAACGCACTTAACTACTTCCAGAACATGAAATGAACACGTATGGTTCTATTAGTCAATTTTGGATCACTAAATTAAAGACAGTTCAAAAGGAGTATAATCTCATAAGGATCTCTCTTTGTTCAGTCTGTTGTGACTTATTTCACAAGGTACAATAAATACTGTTTCTTGTGGGGCTAAATACTATTAGGGTTATAAAATGGTTTTGGGTTAGTATATTTTATGCATTAGTATGAGTTATATACCACAAGGGTAAGAATATTTTTATCTGGTATTTGCAGATGCAGTTTTGTACTCCTGCATATAGAATCATAGAATGGTTTGGGTTGGAAGGGACCTCTAAAGGTCATCTAGTCCAACCCCCCTGCCGTGGGCAGGGACATCTTCAACTAGATCAGGTTGCTCAGAGCCCCGTCCAACCTGACCTTGAATGTTTCCAGGGATGGGGCAGCCACCACCTCTCTGGGCAACACATTCTGGTGTTTCACCACCCTCAGCATAAAAAAATTCTTCCTTATATCTAGTCTAAATCTACCCCCCTTTAGTTTAAAACCATTCCCCCTTGTCCTGTCACAACAGGCCCTGTATCTTGTAGGCTATCAGGATGCTTGATTAAGACTAGCAAAAGCTCCGCAATAAAACAATAAATGCAATAAATAAACAATAAAACAACATCTGGAATGTAACCTTTTATCCATGAAAACATGGATGTGTATGTACTAGTAAAGTAATCCAGGCCAGGGCATAGGCCTGTCATCATCTCTCCTGTTGAATTAGCAAGCACACCTCTTGGCACGGTTTTGGTCAGCTAGCGCCCTCCAAGCAATGCCTGGACATATTTGGGGTTAGGATTGGCCATCATTCATTCCCAAAGGCAGCTGTGATGTGGCCATCCTGTCCATGGGGATAAAAGGGAGTTTAGCCATCTTGATGCAGCATGCACACAAGTTGTGCCCGAGACCAGAGAATAGCCTTGACCTGTTTTATGTAGTAGTATAGATGTAGTTCTGAGGTATAGAAAATAAAATAGGGTTTAAAAACGTAGAATTAGATCCTACCTACTGCTTAATGTAGTCCTTGTTTCCTCAGGCACTTAGGGCTTTTTATGGCATATAGCATAACCTCCTAAATTTAACTTACAGTGCAAAAGTACAGTGGGTAACAATGCAAATAACTTCAGTGACTGCAAAGCAAACTTCTCAGCATTTTCAGTGGGTGTCTCCAAGGCTTCTGTGTTCTCAGAGAAGAAACAGCACCAGCAGAAAAGTACCTTATCCTTCTTAAGCATCTTTAGTTCAGGTTGGGGCTTCTGTGGTCACACCTAGTGTCAAAAAGCATCGGCCTCTTGAAGAAAGAGATACTTTACTAAGTTAGCAGAGGTAGCATGTTTAAAAGAAAAAATATAAGGCAGAGCATTGCCAGGAACAGTGCTGGGACGCTTTCATGGAAACTCAGAGATACTTGGGCAGTTGTGTCACACACTGAAGGAGAGACCCCAGACTGTCACATCATTACGTTAAGGGCCTGATTCTCTCTCTGGCTGATGCTGACAATGTTTGCTCTCTCTGTCACCATGAAAATCAGTGGGATTTTCCTCAAAGCCTCTAACTGTGAATTAGAGATAATTGTATTGAACTGGAACCACAGGATGAGGCCAAAAGCAAGGTCAAGATGAGAGGGACCACGCTGGAAAGGTGGTTCTCTATGGGTATTGTCTTCCTAGTGGGAGGAAAGCTCGCCGCCTTTCCCTGTAGTGCCTGAGTATCTGCAGTGAGAGGTTGACCATGGATGGATGGATAGAAAGATTGCATGTGGATGATCATATGCAGAAAATGAGCTTCCTTTCCTACCCGCCTGCACCTTGCATTATCTGTTTTGTATCAAAACAAAGGCAATGGGTTACGCCATGTAATTCAGCTACAGCACGTCAGCTTTGTACAAGCAATTCCCCATCACCAAGCCTTCTCTCACACTACCAGACTGCACCTAGGGACTGACTATGTCAGTTTAAAGAAAAGCAGCTTAGCGTACCCTGATCTGCTCGTCCTGTGCTACTCTGACCTCTGCCAGGACCGGAGCTTCCAGGTTCCAACACAAAGTGGCTGGAGGCAAAGCTTTTTCAAAGATGAGATCTCTTCCCCGTTACCATTCACCGCCCTTAGATAGTCCCCTCGCGTTTGCTGAGCTGCCAGGGCTGCCCGTTCCCTCGGGATTTTGCCTGTAGGTGTCAGAAGCTTCAACACTTCACTGAAACATGCCTGCCATGGAGATCCCCGTGGCAGCATTAGAGCGAGATGCATTTTGATCTTTGAAACCATTTGATCCATTTCATAAATATATAGTAAGAATGCAGGTCTGGCAGATTTTCTCATTCTGAACACCTCTGGCAAGGCAGTACGGAGTTAGTGGCTGATGGTAGTGGATTTGTCATCCATTGCGGTGTTGAGCAGCCTTGCTCTAGGTTGGGGAGCTGAAGTCTTGAGAGGGATTTTTCATTCTTTGACTAGCTTTTATCCACAAGACAGATTTGGATTCTAATATGTCTGTTCTGTATAAAGTACATTTTTTATTGTGCCGTTCCTCAGTTAAACAACTCATGGTGGGGAAGGGTCAATTATAATTCATTGATGGGTAGGATTTCTCCTAATCCCTGCATTTTGGAAAATAGAGATATAAAGATAGTTGTTAGCTAATGCTTTAAGAATTGCAGCGTAGTGCTAAGGAGTAATAACTTGTAACTCTGAAGAACTAGGTTGTCTCAGGCGCACATTAAATCATATTATCTGCTACTAAATTACTCTTGCCTGTTTTTTTTCCCCTTTCTTGCAGTTCCGAAGGATACAATCTTACATTGTCCTGCACTTGAGCAGTAAAGGATAAATTTGATCACTGGGTGACTTGTCATCTCTTCGTTGTGACGGAAAAATGGTCGCCTAAAATAAACCCTTTGTTATGCTGCTAAAACTGCCTTTGAATCCAAGATCTGTTGTGATTTTTAAAACACAAACCCAAGAATGTCAGAACCCGATCCTTCATCTGGATTTGTAGGAAACATGGAAAATGGGACTTTTCTGGAGCTGTATCCCACATCCCTTTCAACTTCAGTGGATTCATCGCCTGGCCGTTTATCCAACGTCTATGTCTATGTTTCTATATTCCTTAGTCTCTTAGCTTTTCTCCTTTTGCTATTGATCATTGCACTTCAGAGGCTGAAAAACATAATTTCTTCCAGTTCCTCCTACCCAGAATATAACAGTGATGCTGGAAGTTCTTTCACTAATTTAGAGGTTTGTAGTATTTCTTCCCAGCGCTCTGCTCTCTCAAACCTTTCTTCATGAAACTAAATGAAAGGAAATGCACGAGTAATGGAAGAGCTTTGTCTAGTTTCTTGGAGAGGTAATGCATGCAACATTTGCCTTAGAAGACTATTATGAAGAGGTGGCTTTTAAAGTTTCCTTAGGGTTTTCTGTTCTTCCCTTTTCCAGTCTTCATTTCCCCTTTTACTAATGTTCCGTTTCATTTTGGACAATGGATAATGACACTTGATCATCATTTCATGCCTGTAATAGTGATGCTGTCTTTTTCTCACACATACACGGTGTTCATTAAGAGTATTCCTGCCAAATTGTGATATGGTTCTAACTGGATGTGTCATTTTTCTGCTCTAGTTGTGAACTCTTCCCTGGTTTTGTATCAGTAATATGCTGACTACTTTTATTTTTCCTTTTTTAATTAGATAACGACTTCTGGAGGAAATCCCTATTGCAAAAGTATCAAAAATCAGCTTAAATTATAAATATAGTCCTTGGGACAATTACAGTTGTTGGTAATGTTTCTTTTTTAATTTTCATATCTTTTTCAGTATTTATTGATGTTTATAAAACACAACTAAAATCCATTTCTTGAAGAATGTTACTTTCGTTTATTTGTACTCCCAACTCATTCTGTACAAAGCCCCTGTATTTCAGTTTTTTTAATCTCTTTGGTTAACTTAGTAAAGTGACTACAATAACGATGCTCACTGCTGAATGTGTGGAGGTATTTTTGGACCCCGTTGCATCTAATTTGCCTAATGACTTGTTCCTCCAGGGGGCAGCTTTTGCTGCTGAATCATATATATCACACAACTCCTTTGCATCCTTCACTGATCCTGTAGCTTATTCTTGATGGATACCAGTACAAACCACTGGTTTCTTGTAAAAGATCTGCATACAACAACCATAGCTGGCAACTGAATAGCTCCTGTAACTGTCCTTTAGGCACAAGATGTTTGTACTCACATAAGCAGGGCCAGCGGGGACAGAAATTGATTGTAGTGGTGAGGACTTTCTGGGCCAGATTTTGTCCTGTAATTTCACAAATGCACACTGGGGTGGAGGGGGGACACGAGGACCTGCGTGATGGCCAGGCAGACCTGTGCTCTGACACTCAGGAGGTGCAAAGTGTACCTGCAGAGGGTAGGAAGAGACGGGAAGGAAAAAGGCAGTGGCCCTGCCCCTTTTCTCCATCAGCATAAGGAGAGGCCAGAGATGAGGGGGTGAGAAATGGATGATCTTTCACAATCTCACTCCTCTTTGCGATGCCATAGTCTGGGTTATGATTTCCCCCTGCCCAAAATGTAACCCAGCACTCAATTTCTGCAGTAAAAGAATTAGCAGCATTGTGAACAGGATCCTGTGGTCAGCTGGGAATTAAATCAAGCCAAACGACCAAAGAAATGATTCAAAATGCCAAGTGTGACCTGCTAGGGTTGCAGCCCCGCATTGTGCGGTGCGATTCCTTGCTGTCCTTACTGGACTATGTGAGCACAGCCTGGTCCTGCCACTCAAGTCCATGCAAATTTTGCTCTCATGGCAGGATCCAAGTCACTGGAGAGACCCAAGGAAGGGCATGGAAATGTCACTGCCGTTTCTGTTGCTGGCATAACAGCACGCATAGGTCTGTGCGATGGGCCGGTCTCAGCAGGAGCGCAGGGCGACAGCTCTCCCCGTGCACGGCGCTACTGTCCAGCAGGCTGACGGGTTGGGGAGCTGCGGAAGACCTCCCGACCAGATTTGTTACAAATACCCTCCTGCCGAGCTGTCAATGCGTTCATCAACAAGACACATTCTGCCATTAACTACACAGCCTTTAAAAGAGAAACGTGGAAAGCCTGATGTAAATATAATCATTAGAAACACAGCTGTTCAGTGCCAAACAACATATAGATGATGCTGGAGTTGGTGTTTTCAATTTTTAAAAGTGAACCTACAGTATGGTAAGTGGTAATGACTTACGGTGGTGATTAGCTCCTTACAAAGGTCAAAGAACTTGCTGACTAATAAAGAACTTAAGCCTGCACATTCTCTGAGCCAAACTGGTTTTAAGAATATATTTAGTCTCTGGAATATTTTATTCACCTGGACAAAAATTTCTTGTAAGTCACTTTTCACTGTAATTGATGACAGGCCTTGAGAAAAGAGTTAACTGTTTAAAAGGGATCAGGAAACATTATTTCCTTTCTGAAAGCTCTTCCAAATCCCAAACCTGTAACAGAATGTATTTGTGTGTTGACTGGTAGATAAAAATGAACTGTAAATCAAGATGAAGCAACTGTTCAACTATCTTCTCTTACCTACAAAGTTGTAAATTTGTTGCTTCCTTTGCTGCAAATGCAGGAATTTAATCAAAACCAGAGATGAGACCGCAGGTTGAGATGGGTATTTGTTCCCAGCGATATGTTTCCCATTACTAGTTTATGCTTGCGGATGTAGAGACATTTAATATTAAATACAGACTGTTGAAAACGCATTGGCCTTGTTCAATGAGCTGTTGTCAGACTTCACAAGAGCAAAAAGTATTTTTCAGACTGCACAAAGTAGCAGTGGTAACTGAAACCACACATTTGATTTTGCTTTGTACTTTACTAGATGCTACTAATTTTTTTTCCACTCTGCAGTGACATATGGGACTATATACAGTCATCATGATTTCAGCTGAGTTGCACCTGTTCTCATCAGGACAGATTTGAGTAGAAACAAGTTGGATCCAACAGAATAGCATCAGGAGAAGCCACAGGCAAAAAGCACCATGGCATTTTCGAGGATTACTGAGTACTAGTTCTTCAGGAAAAAAAGAAAAAAGAAAAAAAAACAAAACAACTTGAGAACCTGAGCTTGAGTTAACTTGAGCTGGAGTTGCAGAGATTTTCCACCATGGTAAATTGAAAAACAGATTAGATTCTTAATTTTCATCAAATTTCTGTGTTTTCTACCTCTCCCTCTCTCTGTCTCCCCCTCTTTCTGTCACTCACAAACCAAACGGACCTGGACAGGCTGGAGAAGTGGGCAGAGAGGAATCTCATGAAGTTCAGCAACAGAAAATGCAAAGTGCTGCACCTGGGGAGGAATAACCCCAGGCACTGGGACAAGCTGGGGGCTGATCAGCTGGAAAACAGCTCTGCAGAGAAGGACCTGGGGGTCCTGGTGGACAACAAGTGGACCGTGGGCCATTAACATACTCTTGCTGCAAAGGAGGCCAAGAGCATCCTGAGCTGCATTAGGAGAAGCACTGTCAGCAGGTGGAGGGAGGTGATCCTTCCCCCTGCTCAGCACTGGTGGGACACCTGGATTGCTGTATTCAGTTCTAGGCTCCCCAGTATGAGAGATGTGGAGCTACTAGAGTGAGTCCGGTGCAGAGCTACCAAGATGATTAAGGCACTGGAGCATCTCTCATATGAGGAGAGGCTGAGAGAGCTGGGACTGTTTAGTCTAGAGAAGGCTCAGGAGGATGTCATCAATGTGTATAAATACCTCATGGGAGGGAGGAAGAAGAGGGAGCCAGGCTCTTCTCAGTAGTGCCCAGGGACAGGACAAGAGGCAATGGGCACAAACTGAAACACATGAAATTCTATCTGAACACAAGAAAACATTTTACTCTGAGGGTGGTCAAACACAGGCACAGGTTGCCCAGAGAGGCTGTGGAGTCTCCATGTGTTGACCTGGGCAACCTGCCTGCAGCTGACCCTGCTTTGGGCAGGAGGGCTGGACCAGATGATCCTCAGAGGTCCCTTATCCATGCTGTGATTCTGTGATTCATGTCAATGCAAAAACTCAGCAGCTTCTAGCTTGCTGTCTCCTCCTCATGTGTTTTCTCATCTCTGGAGCTGAGTAAACAATATCTTTACTAGGGGGTGATTTGTTCAATAACTTGTTACTAAAGAGCTGCTCTGTTCTTCCTTCTGCCTGCAGCCATGTGCTTTTCCAGTTTTTCCACTGCCCTTTTGTGGAGTGGGTTCATATTTCACAGTCAGCTTTTGCCCTGGACCCCTTTTGTTTTTACTAATCCCTTTGACTGCAACAGTGCCATTAGCTTCAGTGATATATGACTCCAAGGCTGCATGGCTTCAGGTAGTTGCAAAGTATACCTGGAAATCTACAGAAAGAAAAATACCAATAAAGCATGGATAAGGAAAGAACAGAAGGAGTTTCTGGATCACGCAGAAAAAATATTTTGCTTTAGTTCAACAAATACGGTCCATTTAAGTGTATTTAATCAAAGAGTATCTCGTGAAGGCTGTAGCCACCTCTGTATCTAAGATTAGACTCTCTTTGCATTGCTGGACACCCTGGCCCTAGTGTCAGGTTAACCCATCACATTTGCCTATCCTCAATGCTACTGAATTATTCCCATTCCCTTCTTGAAACAGTGTCACGCTCTTCACTCAACAACTCTTCAACTCTGTGGAGAGTTTACTCCATTGAATTAATTTTCTCCTTTCAGCCCTTCTCTGTCTGCCAGCTCACCTGAAAGTTTTGTCTCTGTAAACTAAAGTCTCGTCTGTTTTTCCTACAGATATCTTTTAAGTTGGGAAAAATTCTTACTCCTCTTCCATGCAGCTTGTTTGCCCTGCTCTTTCATTCTCTAACCCTGTGGTATTCTGGCAAGGCTGAATCCCCATGGAGCATCATGCTCCGCTGTACTTGAGCTTTTTTCCTTCAGAGTCTTTTTTTTTTCAGTGAGATCACTGGGAAAGACATCTGCATGGGAAGGTTATTTACGAAGTCCATATACCTCCCATTCTTCTTGACAGGACTGTTTTCCCTGCATCTGTTACGGTTGTCTAAGGAAACATTGTGATTTACAGGCCAGCTGCTTCCCCAGCTGAATGGCCTTTTCACGTCTGTGGCTCTTCATATGCTCCCAAAGACAACGGCCCCACTCTGTGGCTACAGTAGAGGATTACATGCCCCAAATTCAGGGTGCAAAAGTAGCCTGAAGAAGTCCTTTTTCTCTCCAAGAAATGTGGGCTTGCTCTTGCCTATGTCTTTGGCATAACATAGAGCAGCCCTCAAGCTGCTTTACACTGAATGAACTGTGTGATGCCAGCCAGTCCGACGTGCAAATGGGACCCACCTGCAATCACAGCCCCACTCTCACAC